AAGTTCATAACGAGCAAAATACCACCTGAAAAGTACCACACAGTTTCGGTTACTTCTTATATCCACTTTCTTAGGATAACAAAGTTTTACTGTCAAACAACAAATTCACAAACTATTAAAGAAATTTTACTCAAATTAAACTTAGTATTCAGATCATCAATTCGAACTGGATATTTCCTTAAAACTAAAAGACATTCTGCCTACAACTCTACACATATGGACCGTCTACAAATTCACTTATGGTGACTGTAAAGCCACCTATATTAGCGAAACTAAACGCGAATCAAAAATACGAGCCTAAGAACACATGTGAGTTTCAAGCAGAAATGGCTACCCACTTTTAAACTGTCATGCTTCTGCCATTCACATTCATTGTGACATTACATTAATAACCTTCCTCTTTTTGCTAAGTAATTTCCAAATCTCAACATCAAAGTTATCAGACAACGAACTTCTGATAAAAGAAAACTTATCATAAACCACGATAGTGGTTTTTTCATAATAGGGATCATCAAGGAATTTCACAAAAATTCTACTAAAACATACGGGCAAAAATAATCTTAAATAGCAGACTTGTTCTTGAAACAACACCCAAGACCTTCTATCTCAATGGCTAAGGCTGCTAAAATATTGATAATAATAAAAAAGTTGATTTTCCGATTGTTAGACAAAATTCATCCATTTGTTCTTCATATTATTTTTATTCATACTATACTTGTGTCACAAGCCTACAAGAAAACGGCTATGAATATTTTATTCAAACCTAGGCACACATACTAAAAAACTCGTGACTATTTTCATGTTGATTCTTGAAAGGGAAGGAGAAATATTATTAGTTTTTCAGCACTACTGGACAAGTTTCTCTTCTAAGCCATTCTACTAAACAAACTCCTGCAAGTATGTAAGGCTATTTTTCAGTTGATTCTTGAAATTCGAAGTTTCCACCCCTAAAATTTTCTAAGTTCTTCTTCACTACCACCATAAGCTTTTCGAAGCTATTCAAGCATCACAGAAATTTAGAAGCCATTTAAGCACCGTTAAACTAGTCGGAAATGCTTCGTTTTATTAAAGTAAATAAATAATGTGTATATTTACAACACTGTCTCTAGCCTTATTATTATTGATTATAGTTTTATAAGCCGCTACAGAGAAAACAGTTACGGATATTCTACCTGGAAAATGGTAATGAATGCAGTATTGAGTATATCATAGGTTAGTTTTAAAATAAGTTCAAACGCCTTCGCTTTTTCGCTCTGGAGAATTTTGCTAAGCCCGTCACTTCCCCCATTGAAAAAAATCCGGTGTCTTACTAATGCACATTAATTGGTGTAACGAATTTGATGTTATGTATTTATTTGAGTATGAACGTTGTTTAGATAATGTTTATGTTTAGAAACATACATAGTTTATACTTTTAGATAAGTATTGCGAAACTCCCGCCTATTCTCCAAAGTTGTAGAAGATTCTCGCGAGTAAGAATCAACAATATATCTATATACGTAAACGCTTTAACCAGTATTTTTCTAGAAAACGTTCGCACAACTATAAATATAACCAACGCGACGCGCCAAGGAGAGTGTCCATTATTAGTTCGCTATATATCGGTGTGATATAAAACTTCGAAAGCTATAACTGTGGTTGTTATAACGCTTGCCAATTGGAAAACATAAGATGTCTGACAAGGAATATTTATAAATTTTGAACGTTACAAACCATTTAACTTCAGTGGATTCTCATCCGACATTAGTAATTTTACGAAGACATATGAATTCATCGTGGAAAACCTAGTGTGTGTGGCCAGGGACAAAGCTAGCTAGCTTCCCAGAGGATCGTATCTAGATCAACTCGTAATTAACTCGTTCATCTTGAACCCTCGATAAGATATCAAGAAGTTTCCAGACTAGAAAGAAAACTTTATATTGTTTGTAAGTTTGTGAAACTTTTGT